CCTTGAGGACAACAAGGGGGCTCTCGCCTTAGTCGAGAACCCGTTCAGCTCAGCGAGGAGCAAGCACATCGACGTGCGGTTCCATATTATTCGCGAACTATTCAAGTCGGGCAAGATCACTGCAGAGTATGTTCCGACTGGAGAGCANTAGCCGGGGAGGGAGTGAAGGAGGCGTTGTTTGTGCGTGGCGTTCTGTCGTTCATAGCGCCCGAGACGAGTGGGGCGAAGATCAAGGCCCTTGAGGACAACAAGGGGGCTCTCGCCTTAGTCGAGAACCCGTTCAGCTCAGCGAGGAGCAAGCACATCGACGTGCGGTTCCATATTATTCGCGAACTATTCAAGTCGGGCAAGATCACTGCAGAGTATGTTCCGACTGGAGAGCAGCACGCCGACATGCTGACCAAGGTCCTTGGCAGAGAGAAGTTAGAGTACCACCGGAAGGCTCTGATGAACCTACCGATCGATGTAGTATTCTCTTGTTCTGTTTGGTTTATGTGGTGGTTTTTGCATATGGCATATACGGCCATGGTAGGTCACGCAGGAAGCGTTTTGCCGGCGCGTCACCCGCGGCTGGAGCCTAGAAACGCCGAGAGCGTTGCTTCCGGTGTGTAATCAGCGTGACCGGTTCAGCTGTCCTGCCTTGGTCTTGTCTTGAAGTGCGGCCGTTGGAATCCTCCGTGATAGCGACGGATTCTTATTTTTTACACGAGGGTTTTTGATCCGGTTGGCCGGGTTTTCCCTCGAGCCTGTTGTTTNTAGAAAGACCGCGGGGGGGGGGCGGGTGAGCCACACCAACGGCGCTTCCCTACGGGGCCATTTTGATCATAGCTCGTGACGGACGCTGTGTCCCTTTGTGGACTCCTCTAGCCGTTTTGACGTTCTCGCTGTCAGGACTACATGCAGACCACAGGGGAGTACCCCCAAATCGTTGTAGACGCAGCAACTGACCGATCAGAAAACTGCGGGCACCTATCTTATTCTCTATCCCGAAAAACATCGGTCTTCATACCAAGCACGACGGCGAGAAACTCAAAAACGCTGCCGAGTGTTTTTTTTTTTTTCTCCTGGCGAGCCTCTGACACCCGTACCATTTCCCAGATGTGGGCGACGTTGTTATAGACGATGTTTCTTTCCTTCGGTGTGACTCTCTCGTCACGAATTGCAGTTTCTCTTGGGAGCGGCAAGACTAAACTACTAAACCAAGCCAAGGTTGACCGGGACAACCAAGCGCCCATCACCATACAAACAACAGCAGCGCCCGTACCTGCATCATCCCACACAGAATCAAAACGAATGCGACAGAGGCGGGGCCTTCCGGACGGGATCCCAAAAATTATGCTCTTCCTTGTCGACAACACAAGCGAAACATTTTTTTGCGGACGTAAACACACACCGCCTCAAAAAGCAACCAAACGACACAGAAAAAAAAAAAAGCGCTTTTTATACAATGGTACAATTTTGCAATTTTGCATCCCGTCTGTTGTGAGCAACAAACCTCCACACCATGTATCATACGCGTGCGCGCGTTAATGTTTCACTCCTCACACCATGTAAAGTACGCGTGTGCCTGTAATGTCCCGCTCCACCCTCGCAACCTTCGTACCTCATTCCCCACTCCCCAACCTCACTACACGCAACAAGGACGTGTTCGTACCCGCACATATAATTTACAACGCACGTGCCGAGGCCTCCACATAAGGCATTTACAAGAGGGGACGGAAGCGCCCGCGGGGGGACAACAGAAGAAGAAAAATCACGGGGGGGGAAGAGGCGAAACCGAAAAGAAGGGTATCGTAGGGTCAAGAACACTACCACAATACGACCGGTTTGGCAGAAAGAAAGAACCACATGGCGGGATCAAATTCAAAATCACAGGCCATCTCGACAAGAGCATGGAAAGGAAAGGTGCGTCTACTGTACAGCCCTTCGGGCAAACCAACTCCGCCGTAGCGATGATAGGCAAGACGCGCGCGAGTGAGATCTCAAGTCAATCCGAACACGACCTTGTCGTTTCTCGCGCTACCGATGGACGTATCGTACATATCGCACGGACGCGCCACGCCTTGGACGAGCACAGAGACGGAGCGCAGAGACGAGCCCGTCCTTCCATACTAAAAGTACACGGAGCTCGAAGCTTCGCCATGCAGGGGCTGGGTGGCACAGACCAAGCGCAACGGAAATTTCCTCACATGGCTATTGCTGCTCAGAGACAGGCGTGCGAAGGTGCTGCCGTTGGTTTTCGTCCTCCTCTAAAGGCATACCCTCGCACGGTCGCTGCACTGACACCATCGTGTTTTTTCGTCCCGCAACCGTCTACAATTCATTCGCCAGGCAGTCAACGCTAGGTCGATTTTGATGACAGAAACACAGCGAGACTCATCACAAAACGCACACAAAACGAACACGTGGTGGCAAAACAACCTACACAACAAAAACTTCAACAAACACACAACAAAACAGGGACGATGCATATTCAATTGATGGTACCAAAAGCGCACATTTTTCCGAGAGTCGTCGGGGACTGTAGCTCGCCGGCGTGTGGCGGTGGGCGCGCTTCACTTAGCTACTCGCAGGATAGTACGGGTACTCGCAGGATAGTACGGGACAACACAACCATGCAGCCTGCGCGTGCGGCAGGACCTCATAATCCTGACGTTGCGGGGCACAAACGGTGGGTGGGCTTGTGTGCACCCCAACCCTTGACCCACCCGTTTTCGCAACATGACACAAGAAGGCTCGGCACTAACGTGTCTCTCCATCTTCGAACGCCCGCCAGAAGAGCGGAGGCGGAGCTGCGTAAGAATCTACAAGTCCGTGGGATGGTTGCCGCCGTCCCTATCCCGCCAGCCACCGTCAGAATCATCGTCGAAGTCGTCGTTGCTGCTGCTGCCGCTCCCGTCGCCCCAGTCAAACATGGACCACCTCTCCCCGCCGTCCCCTCCGTAGCCGCCACCGTCATCGTCCGCTCTGCCGTTTCCACCAATCCTTGCGACGCTAGTGCCGGATTTGTCTCGGAGGCGGCACGACCGCCCCGGATGGACGTCGCCGAACTGCGGGGAAAACAATAACCAACCGGATGTAGCTCGTGTCGGAAAAGGCTAAGGGGTGAGGCGACCTGAAAACGACCAAGGACACCTACGCACGAACCTCCCAAAACAGCAAACGCGTGCGTGGGCGTTTCATCGCCCAATACGTCAAGATAATCACGCAGACGAGAGGGAGAGAGAGAGAGGGCGCACGTGGAGTCGGGGCGACGGCCTTGGTGCTGACGGCTTGTGATGCTCAAGAAAAAAGAAAAAACGCCCATGCGGTCATCTAGCAGTGTTTAATATAACACCACACGACACACGCTAATAGAGAAACCCGATACAAGCTGGGCCAGCCAAGAGGCTCACTTTCGACCATTCGTGTCTCATCTTGTAAATCCTTGGGTACGGAGTACACAGTTTGAATTGTAAATACACGTTTCTTCTATTTTCCGCCCGAAGCACCTTGTAGTGGAAGGCACAGTGCCTCCTCGGCGTGCAAACGAGCTTCTTCTCCTCGAGGGAGTGCGCCAGGGAGAAGCGGCAGTCCTTGTCAGTCTGAGGCACAACGTGCTCGGCGGTGAAGCGCCAGGTGCTCCTGCCCACCTTGCCAACGAAAGCGGCAAGCCTGCCGGTCGGTCGATCGGTCGGTTGGTTGGAAGGGGGACGGGGGAGAGAGGTCGACAAAGGGGTGGGGGAGGGCTTACTCTCGTGACTTGCGTGGACTAGCGGTTAGACCGGTCATTGAGCACGCGTCCCTCGAGAGGACGGACCATTGTTCCCACGGGACCGATCACCAATGGCCACCAATGGCCAATCATTCCTTCTTTGCCAAACTGGCGCTAGGTTGACCACGCGAGGGGGGTGGGTGTGGGGGGCGTGATTGAGTAGGGGTGGCGCTGGAGATGTCGGTGGCGTATCGACAACAAGCAGCGAAAGTGCAGAGGACGGGGGACAAAATTGACCGGCGGAGAGAGAGGGGAGGGGGGGGCAAGGGGCACATAGAGAGCAGCAGCAGCAGCTGCAGCTGCAGCAAGCACCACCACACCAAGAGACGCGCAAGATTGAGGTGTCGGAGCAAGTTTGTCGGACGCCGCCGGAGAAGTAAACCTATACCGCACCGAGTCCGAAAACCATTCAGCAAAACATCGCAGGTTTTGCGCAACACACGCGCGAGTAAGAATGCAACGCAACCCCAGCAAGGATAATGGCCAGCTTCTGGTTCATCCTTGTGAAACGTAGCCCATTGTAGTGGGCGGCGAAAATCCGGCATACTGTATCGCTCCGTCCCTTCCGGCATGCGAGGTTTATGGTCTAACTAACAACGTACGGCATGTGTTCACACGAGCACACCCCTTCCCGCGCTCTGCCTCACTTTTCCAGCAAGGACACGTCGTTTCCCCTCTCGGGGTCGCAGGTGGCCAGGCCCCTCTCCCCCTCCGGCCTCAGGCGGCACGATCTTCCGGGCGCGTAGTCCCCGAATCGGTACTTGTACTGGCAGCTGCACTGGGGATCACACCGCCATCGACCCCTGTAAATGGAAAAAGAGAGACATTGGCGGGTTGTGTGTATGACTCGTACATGCGCGGCGAACGCAAGGCGATCGAGCAAGTCTACACACATACACCGACCGGAGATGGGGGAGAGGCGAGGGGAGCACCCAAGCAAAGCGTGAGAGACAAAAACGGTGCGAATCGCAACAACAATGACAAAATCAGGTCGGTAGGGTCGTTCTGACCGATAACGCCATTGGGACTTACAGCACAAGGCCAAGAAACACCAAAACAAAAAGAATACACAAAACTCATCTTGGGATGTGCGTAGAAATTCAGAGACCGCACGGGCAAAAAATCCGACGGAATCACCAGAGAAAACTGCCACTAACGAACCGAAATTCTAATCCCCGACAGCGCCTAACGCCCAGCCCCTCCCCCCCCGCCCCACCAAAAAAGAACGCCCCTGTTCGAAGGGTTCTATCAACTCTGGTCAGGACGGGTGTGGTACGCATCCTCGTTGAGACCCTTTCTACCACCACCCGATCGATCCACGTCCGGCAAACACATCGCTCAAATGCCCTACACGAAACAAAACAAAACACACCCCTTCGCCCCCTCCTTCAAAGGCACCACAGCAACGATTGAAACTGGAGGCACGTTGTGCAACGGACGGCCGCAGCGGAAGAGGCCTGGCCGGGCTACGCGGGACCAAAAAAAGTCGGCGTAAGTCTCACTTTGTCTCTGCTTGTCGATGCCGACAACTGCATGTAGTGGTCCAAAGGATAGCGCAGAGATGACGAAAAGGAGGCGGGGAGACGAGATCACCACAAAAACAAAAAAATAAATAAAACTTACCAGCTCCAGTCGCACTCTTCGTCCGTCCTCGGGGTGAGTCGGGTGTTGACCCACTGTACTACCAAGCGACCGATCCTGATGTTGGGGGTCCCGGGAACGTGCGGAGGGGGGGGAGGGGGGGGGGTCGATTCAGAACAAAGCTAAAAACAGGTGGGCGGGGCATGAGTGTGCAGAGAAACAAACGTATTCATAACAAGAAAAAACATCGTCGAAACATTTATCCGAGAAATGGTGTATCACTCAACGTTTGGTGGATATATGTAGACAAAAACCACTCCGCTCCGCGAAATTTCCAAGAAAATTCAAAAGACGTTCCACGGAGCTGGTCGTTCCTGCTCCTACTCCGTGACACCCCGGAAATAATCCCCCAGCATCCAGCAGGCCTTCCTCCCCTCTCACTGCAAACACTTCCAGCACAACACACACCCCTTATACTGCTGTGGTACTATTTCTATTACCATTTATTTTGACCGGGTACAAGCAGCTCCTTCATTGGTTCGCTGCATGGATGCTTTTCTAAGCCAAGACGGTAAACACGCCGGCGCATACCTCTCGAGCAATGCCTCGTCGTCCGTGTCGAAATCCCTCTCCAGCTCTCGCCTCCTTCGCTCCCGTTTCTCCGAGTCCATGGTGCGATGGAAAACCCCCACCAGCTCCTCCGCGAGCTCGTCAGCGGGCATCGAGTCCATCATCTTGTCAATAAACCTTGGGGGTCGAGGGACAAGAAAAAACAAAATCAAGGCGCCAAAACAGGGCGTGCGTCAAACAGAGCGGCAAGAAATCGAGGCGATCTCGAACAAGAACAGCAGCAGCAGCAGCATGGTTGGCGGTAAGGACATTCAATCGACAGGCGATATGCGTCGCTCCTCGCCGGCGTAAAAAAAAAACACCACACACGTTTGTCAGTACGGGACGACCAATTCGTTCAGCCCTCGGGACAAGTCGTCCAAAATGAGCATACGGTCATGGCCGGCTCTGATATAAGAGGGTAGTGTGACGAAGGCCCTGGACACTCTTATATCGGAGCCCCCGGCTTATACCGGAATAAGAGAGTACTCAACTATACTACGCATATAGAGGGTCGAAGGCGTGACAACCGATTCCGACCTTCTTGTATCGGAGCCCCCTCGTATAAGGTACAAGTAGAGGTCCCTGTTTAGGCCAATTGTTATGGAATTTTTTCCGATTTAAAATCCTGATTTTACGCCTTTTACATCCAAACCCACATGAGGCCGCAGGAGTTCTGCGTACTTTGCTGGAAAACCACACAAAAGCGCTTGGCACTCAGTACTCGCCTCACAGAGACCCTTTGGCACCCAAACCTTAGAGGCCGCGCAGTTCTTTGCTGTTAGCCCCTCCGAGCCAAGTTTGGGGAGCTGGGGTGCAGTGTGCTTACAGCATGCTGTGTCAAATAGGAATTCCACTTTGGAATTGCTGGACGATCATGGTTGGATTTCCTTATGACTTCCCAGCTGGAAATGGTTGAACTTCCAAACTGGAACTGGTGAATTTACACTCATATCAAAGGCATCTACGCACACTGCACCCTAGCTGCCCAAACTTGCCTCCGATAAGCTCACAGTAGTGGAGTGCACAGCCTCATCGGTTAGATAACAAACACGGGTCTGTGAGGCGAGGACAAACTGACGAAGCGCCTCGGTGCGCTCTGCTTGCTATCCAGTACGCAGACCTCCTGCTTTAGGGAGGGGGTGGAGCTTTGTCTGCTGGCCCCCCGGATTCCCAAGTGGCAAAAAATTCCATAGCAACTGGCCTTAGTGCCGGTTGATTAGTGCCGGTGTTTTCGGCTCGCACACACTGGAATACCAATTCGTTCTGTACTTCGAGTAGTGCCGGTGTCCAGTTTAGCGCCGGTGGAATTTCGGCGCACACCCCGGCACTAAACAGGGACCTCTACTGTACCCTGTTGTATATTGTATATTATATATATATATATACCGGTCGCCCCGGTGGTCTAGTGGTTAACCTCGCAGCCTGCTAAGGGCCAGGTCATGGGTTCGAGTCCCGGCAGAGTGAGTTTTCTTCTCAGAAAATAAATCCTGGTCCAGGATGAAAGCGACGCGCTGCAAAGCTCACTGTTAGTAAACCATAATCGACTTCGTAAGTCGCGAGGGAAGGAATTGCTGTACCCTTCTCGCGATAAAAATACCTCAGGCAGGAACCGCAGGAGGGGATCCAGCCGCCCCATCCTATGCGACCCCGGTTGGGTCGTCTAGCTAGTAGAAGTGGAGGATAGAGGCCAGAGGAGCAGACGACAGAGTCCGATGATGGGAGAAAAAAAAAAATACCATATATATAGACTATATAGCGGAGCCACAACTGCAGTTGTTTACGCATTCGACGTCGGGATACTAAGGAAGACGAGAGGAACTCCAATCTCCACAACCGGCGGCGCCTTTTTCAACGCAATGGCCTCTAAAAAATCTCCTGGTCAAGAAGGCCGCTGTGTTCCGAGGTCCAGGAACGCGGTGCACATTCTCCCTGATGGAAGGAGGTGCTTTAATAATACAGAAGTATTTACCGCAGCAGACTCAATGAAAAAAAAAAAACTCCTTTTGCCGGCCGCGTCGCACCTCCGGCAGCAACAGCAGCAGTTGCCACTGCTGCAAGATGTTGGTGGAAAAGACTACACAAAAGATCCCGCCAACCTCCTCCGTGCCGGCACTTCTCTCTTCACACACGCGCGCGCGCACCTCTCGTACTCGGCCCGCCGCTCCTCCTCGCTCTTCTTTGTCGCAGCCGCCGCCTCCGCCGACCCGCGCCTGGCCGGCCCTCCTCCCACCAAGGCCGCTACCGCGACGACGGCGACGTATCGCCAAGTAGGAGACATTGCGAACACTTCCTCAAAGCTTGCCAAATGAGAGAAAGAGTGCGTAGTAGCTTGTCAGATGTGCCTGTAGTGTGTCCGATCCCCTTGCTCTGGATCTGTCGAGTTGCGCGTGCCACGTGTGAGCTTCCGCAAGCGAGGCCGTTGTCCTCTGTTGTTCGAACTTGTGTACAAATATGTAGCTGCGAGGAAGTGCCGTGTGAAGTTTCAAACCTCAACCTCGTCTAAACTCCGCGAATTTTCAATCCAGCTGCGCGCTTCCGCACACTCTCCAACGGGGTTGATGGCGTGTGTGCAGATCAGGACGGTGCCGACGGAGCCTGGCGACAACAAGGCCACAAGCAGAGACAGCTGCAGCTGGGACAGATCATGACATGTGCTGGGAAAGGGTACGTATTGGGGGCACCGTAATCCAACATTTCATGAAGAGGGGCACGGTGCTACTTTATCCATATCTGCGAAGCCGCCGGTCTGCTGCAACAGCTGCAATGTCTTATCTGCTGTGTCTTTGCTCCCGGTGTTGACGAGGAGATTGTGTCGTCTCCTTCCCTAACGCCAGTGAGCGAGCGATGGAGATTCCGCCTCAGCCATCTGGCGGGCAGTATACTGGGAACGAAGGGCAGCAGCAGCAGCAGCAGCAGCAGCAGCAACAGCAATATGGGATGGGTGTGAGTTGGCGGTGTGACGTTCTCCAACGAGTACCCATTCATGGTACTGCTGCAGTCTCACCTCGCCTCCGTACCACAGCAGCCGTAGTGCACCACCCAGGTCTTTCTTTGAGTGGCATCGTCCGCTTTTGTTGTCGCTTCATTGGGCGTGGTAGCCGGCATGAGATCCCCAGGAAAACGAAAAAAAGAACAGACGACCCGCGGGTGCTCCCTTTGAAATAGGCTTTCGCTCGGTTGTAACAAGCACCTCTTTCATCAACCAACGAGACAGCATGTCCCTTTGCATAGCGTAGGAAGCTAGGAAGGGCAATATCACCACCCATGCTGAACTCTAGTTGCAACATTCGCGTACAAAAGTTTTGTTATCAAGCAGCAACACTACAGAGATAGTAATGTACGGGTGCAGTTTGTAGGGCCACATCGCTATATCGGAAATTATAGAAGGTACTGCTGTATTGTGCAAGTACCCGTTCGAGATTTGAACCCCAGTCGAAAGGGATGTGCAAATCTGTGAAGTGGAGGGAAATCGGCTGGAAACTGGGCTTATTTTGGGTTTAAGCCTGTACACTGAAGATCTGTATCAGTGATGCCAGCTGGCGCTAAGAAAAAAAGCATTGTATAGATGGATAAATCATTGCTGTTTGGGGCTTTCCGACTACCAGTGCGGCCAGTGCTCTTAACAGCAGTGGGACCGAAGCCGCAAGCTCAAGAGTTTTTTTTTTAGCCGTGCCCGTCCATACAACGTACCAGGGCGTGTATGGCTGGTGCAAAGCGTCAGCGACATGCTGTGTGTGTCCCGCAGTCGGGAAGGGGCTGCACGCACCTACAGCCAGACCTCGTTTTTTTCCCACAACCACTACCATCGGGGTTGGGTTTTCGTCGCTTGGCAACGACTTTGTAAAACAAGCCGCCGCCCCCCGATGTTTGCCGTCGGGGTTAGGTTTTCCTCGCTTGGCAACGACGTTGTAAAACAAGCCCCCCCCCCCCCCCCCCCCCCCCCCCCCCCCCC